ATTCTTGATTCATCATGCATTTCTTGAAAGCCTACTATGGATGCTAAAAACTCAAAGTTGAATATTAAGTGATAAGCTACTCAGGGTTAGAAAAATATGCAAACAAAAATATTGTAATAATAAAGACCTCAAGAAAGAGGGCTTAGCTAAATTTGGACATGAATGGTGAATGCAAATTAGCCAGTTAGAAGGGAGAAGTCCACAGAAGAAAGAGTGAGTAGTGCTCACAAACAGCATGGCAGGCTCCCAGCTGAGAAACATGCATTCCAGGTAAAGCTATTTAAAATGCTCTTCTGTTTACAGGAGACAGTTGATGACAGATGACTAGCTTTGATGTCAAGGATGAGTACTATGGTGACAAATTGAGTTTGAGGTAGACTAGGAGAGAGAAGTAGTGGTGAGAAGCTCAAGTGAATTTTTCTCAAGGTTTAGTTGAAGCCCATTTGCCTTAATAGAAAATTCCACTCTTCTGCAAAGTAGACTTTTGCCCTAAGACTTGACTTTCTGTTAAGCACATAGTCTGACTTAGCCTGACTTGAATATAGACCTTATGTCCCCGGGTGACCAAAATCCCTTTACCCCCAAAGAGACAAAGGGCCACTTCATTCTGGTAACTGCAAGTTTTCCTTCCCAGAGGAAATATCTGTCAACTTACAAACTCCTGTAGCACTTATTATTTCAACCATGTGGCACTGCATCACATCCCAACTATTCTCTTAACGTTTTAATGTATTTACATGATGTTTTCCCAAATCATTTTTGGTTCCATAAAACCAGACATTTTTCCCTCTTCTTATACCTATAGGTTTTGTGCATTACTGGTCACATAATATAAAAAGGGGAAAAAAGAATAAACTTAAAATATTAGAAAAGAATAAAAGAAAAATAATTAAATTAACCTTTTGTTACATCAATAGTTTTTAAAAATATTTTGAACATATGGGTGGAAACAGAAGTCTTCCTTCAATCCTTACAACATATCATAATATGTGAGGTTAAAAAGTATTTAAAAATACTGATAATCAAAATGGAGTGGGCTACTGTACCCTGGACAGACACTGCTCTCAGACAGACCATGCACTCCTGTCATAATGACTTTTAACTCTTCCCTCTCTAAACATAAAGAAAATAACATTAACATCGGAAGCTTTCATTTTCAAATGCTGTATGGTGGAGGCCATTCATTCTGTATGACATTTAACATGTCAGTCTTCCTGCTTTTAAATCCCATCTATAAAATGAGATTCTATATGTTTTACAGAAATTCTATATGTCTTTCAGGATCACAAAATCAATCAGAAAGACCAGTTGTTGAATATTTGAAGGCTAAGAATCCAGTTTGATGAGTGACTTTCCCCTTCTACTCTTTTAAGGAGAAAGAAATTGGAACTCTCAAGGGAAATAACAGAGACATGAAAGGTTCCAGTTCCCTATTAACCAGCCATGTGCTCTATCTGTGCAGGAGTTTTTAGCCTCTTCAAAACAAGGCACTTGGAAAGTATGGGTTTTTCTTCTATGTCAATCAACAGGAGAAGAAAAGGGAGATTATTCCTCTTCTACTCATCTATTCAAAAGGAATATTTATTAGACTAAAAGGTTTATTAAAGAATTTCAATAGGTAAATATCAATCTGCCTGAAACGGTTTTAAGAGCATTAATATGCTACAGCTAATAAAATCTTGCTGGCAAAATGTCCTCAGAAGATGGAATTGTTTACACTATTGTGTAAGAAGAACAGCTGTTTGCCCCTCACCACATTCAGAGTTGCAGTCTTATTGAAATGCTAACAAATCTTAGACAAATGTTTGTATTCAAGGCTCAAAGTTGCTCTGAGAACAGGTGTGCTAGAGAAAGAGAGAGAGAGAGAGAGAGAGAGAGAGAGAGAGAGAGAGAGAGCTACAACTGTAAATAGAACTTCAATCTAGGTGCAATTTATGTACTATTTACTAGGCCTGCACATGGACATCTGTAAATGCAGAGTTCCAATATTTACTAATAATAGGAAGATCTTTCACAGTTTGGGAGCTTCATGAAACAAATTTCCCTTTGCGTTCTAATATATCATCCAAGCACATTTCATTGACACAGATTCATTTTAAGTTATTCTGCCAGAAAACAAAGACATGGTCCATAATTTGTTAAATAGTTTATCTAACTACATGATTTTGAGAGGTGTGGAAAGTGGTCAGTAGAGTGGAGCAGTAGCCATGTGTTCTCTGGGTATCATGTTCCCATTTATCCTCAGAGAGGACCTGAGTGTGGGAAGCATGTGAAGCAAGGGGACATCGCAGGCTGCTGGTGGCAGAGGGGAATGAACTGCTGTCACCGTTCCATAGAGAAACTGTCACTACCTGCTGACACTGAAGACATTTCCTATGATCAAAGCATTTACCCCCAAGTACATATTTGAGAAAATCCAAGAGATAGGTACAAGATTGTATAGTTTGTGCTTATAAAAAATCAGAATTAATCTGTAGATTAAAAAGAATAATTACTCGATATGTTGTGGTGTACACATAAAATGAAACATATAATACAGCAGTTAAAATGAAAGAATTCAGACTACACGTATCCAAATGTATAAACTTCAAAAATATAATGTTGAGTAAACTGCACGTTGCAAAATGAAATATGCCATTTATATATTGGTTAAAGGCAATCAAAATAATACTATAAATTTCTTAGGAATGTAAATATGTATGGTAAAGGTATAAAAACATGATCTATAGGAATTTTAAAAAGTTTACTTCTAGTTATGATGAGAAATCAATGGGATCAGTCAAGAATGCAAATTACATTTGCAATATATTTTTCTTTTGAAATGTGTAAGTGTTAAAGAACATATAAAGGAAGATAATGGTTCATTTTTTCTTCTATATTCTCTAATATGATTAAACTGGCCATATACTTGTTTTTAATCCTGGGATCCTCAAAGGCAGGGGGGTAGGGTAGCAGCCCCTGGGGGCCCTCAGTAAGAGAAGAAAGCCCTAGAGCTGGCCTTTGAATCCAGCTCCTCCTCCAGGCCCTGCCAACAGGACAGCTCTTGCACCACCTCAACTTCCAAGTCTGGTGAGTCACAACCTCAGGGCATGCCCTTTCTCCCACAAATGAAGCTTGTCCTGGGGAAGTCTTCCCCTTGCTTTAGACCAGTGGTTCTCAACCTTCCTAATGCTGAGACCCTTTAATACAGTTCCTCATGTTGTGGTGACCCCCAACCATAAAATTATTTTCGTTGCTACTTCATAACTGTAATTTTGTTACTGTTATTAATCGTAACGTAAATATCTGATATGCAGGATGTACCTTCATCGTTACAAATTGAACATAATTAAAGCATAGTGATTAATCACAAAAACAATATGTAATGATATATGTGTTTTCCAATAGTCTTAGGCGACCCCTGTGAAAGGGTTGTTACTCCCAAAGGGGTCGCGACCCACAGGTTGAGAACCGCTGCTTTAGAATCTAGTAACTAACATAATTACTCTCCCTTAGAAGCTTAGAGATAAGAGGGCCATTCACTTAATCTGTTGGATGACCCTGGGAATCTTTCTCTAATAAAATAAGGTGTCGCTAATCCAATCGTCATGCAACTATCTTTACTATTCCAGGAGGTGAGTCCAGCTGTAATCAAACCACAGGCTAACCTGGGGGCCCTGCAGCAGGAGCTTGAGACCCAGCGGCCTGGCCTGGCCTGCTGCCCGCAGCTGAGGACCAGGCTCAGCGTTGGTCCAGTAAATACGCCTGCACTTCTGCTGCTGCCTGAATGGGGGT